GTTATATTTTTGCAAATTTATATTAGGTTTTTATTATTAATAAAATTTTAATATTTGATAAATTTAATAAATAAAATGTACTGATTTTTAATGCTGAATTGGTTATCTGATGAAGTTGATTAGTATTAATCAACGTCTAAATTATTGCCAAATTGATATTGAATTAAGGCTAATTTTAGACTGATTTATTGTTAAATTGCTTGTCTAATTGAAATCGATCAGTATCTAAATTGTTATTGAATTGAAGCCAATTTTAGGCTAATTATAATTATTTTTGTTTTAAATTGATGCCGAATGGCTATATCTGATTGGAATTGATCAGCATCTATCAGCGTCTGAATTTTTGCTGAATTGAAACTAATTTTAGGCCAATTTATGATTATTTAAGTTCTGAATTAATACTGAAAGGCTATGTCCAATTGGAATTAATCAGTGACTATCAGTATCTGAATTGTTGTTAAATTTAGGCCAATTTTAGGCTTATTTATAATTGAATTTAAATTTTGTATTGATGTCAAATGGCCATGTCTGATTAGAGTCAATCCGCATTTATTGATACCTGCTTGTGTCAATCAGAAAATATAGCAAATCAGCTGTAAACAGTATTAAAATCAGCCTAAGATCAGCCATCTAATTTTTAGCTGATTTGGATTATTTTAACTAGTGAAAGCACTTTCCAGTTTTTCGTAATTATAGATGAAATTAAATGGTATTTATAACAGAGTTAAGACAAACTTTAATGATATTAATACTATTCATAATAAAGTATTCAGTAATGATTATGATAAGAAGAAACTTCTTGATGAGTTTATATTCAAATATATTAGTGATTATTAAATATTAGTAATGATGGATAAGTTGATCATTAAGTGAGAAAAATTATAAGAGTAAAAGAAAGAATTTCTTGAAGAATGTGAAAGAATTATTATTAGTGAATGTGAAATAAACTTAATGGTGATACATAAGCTTTAGATGATATGATTGAATTAATTGATTCAGAGATGATTTACATTAATACTAGTTGACAATCAGAAACTACTAGAGGTGTTATCACAAAACAAGTAGCAAATAAAAATCATAAAAATAATGTAAAACTAGTAAAGATGCTGCCAAAATCACGAAAGAATAACAAGACTGATAAAACAGTAAAGAGATTCTCCTTTTCCTTATATTAGAAAATGTCATATCAGAAACTTCATATAATACTGCCCTTTACATTTTGCAAAGTTTATATTCATACAAAATTCAAGCAGTATTGGAATCCTTCTTTAAAGACATTATTGAGGATTGTTTACATCAAATAATACCTATTCAATATACATAGTTATGGGAAATAACCTATTGATATAATATTAAATATGTTTTTATGAACTACTATATATTGATTAATTGATTGAATAGGTTAATCAATTTAACGAAAATCAAGTTATAATTGATGCATTTTTTTAAAATCTTTAAGAATTTATATAGTAATTTAATCTTTTTATAAATAGATAATAAATTAATAAGCTACTTAAAAAGATGTCTGACTTTTAATTTGTTAACGAGAATATACTTATTAACAATATTGATAAGTATATTTTAGAATAGATCCCAGTATTTACTTAGACTAAGTGAGAGTTTTTAAGGCATAATTGTTAATAAAATAATCGAGCTTATTACTGAATTATAGCCATTTTGGACCAGTGTTAACAAATTTTAAGGTTATTTCTTTTTTTTGAATCACTTTGTATATATCACATGATAGATTTTATAGTAAAATTATCACATGATTAGGTCATTTTAAGGTCACTTCAAGGTTATTTGCCAATAGTATTCATTTTGCTATAATTAAAGAAAGATTTCTTGAGACAGTTATGGCTGTTAGAAGTAATTTTAAGAAAATTAATACATTTGGAAGTGACAATTCAATGATCTGAGATGGTAGAATCAACAGATACTGTATCAGTATTGAATAGGTTAAGAATGAGTTCAGATAACATCCAGATATAATCGATACATTAAGGTGAGTTGTTTTAGATGAATAACACATATTTAAAATGATCATTAGCATACATAATGGTAAAATATCATACAAATTAAAATGGATTAACTAATTCATAAATGAAATAGATCAAGATAGGTTATTATTTTTTCAATCTAAGTCTGCGTTAAAATCTCCAAGAAGAATAATATGATAGTTATTTTTGATCACATAATCAAGGAACTGAGTAATGTAATAAATTACTTGTTTAGTGATCTTATCATCTTATCATTATTTGAGGGATGTAGACATTGATAACTAATAATTTTGTTTGTCAGTGAATTGAAGTTTTGCATAAATGATGTAATTGAGATTTGAATTACATTGAAAAATGTGTTTAGAAAAAAGTGGGCTGAATGATAAGCTTACGCTATAATCCACAGTAATGATAACAGAATATTAGGGTTTTCTGTACGATAATTAAGGATTATGTCACTGAGTTCTAGGTCATTTTGTTTAGACCTACTGTAACTGGATAGTATAATTTTCTTTAATCTCTTCACTATTTCATCCATGTTACGATATATGGAATGCTTTCATTTTAAGGATTAGATAGAAATGAATCACAAACAATTCTTTAGCTAATTTCAATTTAAAAAAGGTATTAAAATAACAAGTAAACATTGGGATAATGCTAAGTGAAACAGTAATAATAAATAACAAAGGAAAAAATACAGGTCAGAAATGATATACCAATACTCTCTCAAACAAATGAATAAATATGTAATATTCATAAATGCAAATACTAATCTGAAATATAATAAACAAAAAAATAATTTTTTGTTTACGCAATTTGTTTATTACCTTTTTTTAGCTAAATTGACTGATTTATTCTGTAAATTTTTATAAAACTCCCGCTTATCACCTTTATCCTTCTTCAATTCCTCTTTATATTTCTCTAAAGCTTTTATTTTCTCATCCAAATCTCTCTTATTCTCTTCCAAAAAATTCTTTTGTTCCTCATTTTTTTATCTTATTACTTGACTATTCAACCTCCTCCCTTCAATTCTCAACTCCTGTAACCTCTTTTCATTCCCCTTCAATTTCTCCTATATACTTCAAGCACAATGTTTTTATATTCTTTAATTATTTTGATATTGCCATTTTATAAAAAAAAGAAAAATATTGTAAAATTTATAAATTAATTTTTAAAAAAAAAATTTTTTTTTATTGATTTTTGATCGTAATTATTAAGCCAAAAATCTTTTAATTTAATTTTTATATTCTTTAATACTTTAAATCACTTGTAAACTAAATCATATGCTGTGAAAAGTTTAATTAATATATAACTATCCAAGAATAGTTTAAATTTTTACGAAAAAAAACTTAATATATAATATCTGTAATGATTTATTGGAAAGCGATAAATTTCACTAATAACCTTAACAATTTTTAGACTACAGTAATATATAACAAATAAACCTGAATATAATAAATTACAAATCATTATTATTATTAGATTTGCTTTACATTCTACATCCAGCTTTATGTTGTTCTTCCGCTAATCTTCTAAATATTTCCATTGTATCCTATTCCTTTGATTTATATGCAATAGCTTTCTCTTGTAAACTTGCTACATTCTCTGCTTTATAAGCTTGTTTTCATTATTCACATGCATCATTTACTCGTTTTTGTGCTGCAAAATTATAAAATGAAGATAGTTATGATTTGCCAATCATAAATTCTGAAACTAGCTACAATCATCTTTACTTGTCAGTAATAAATAGAAATTAAGGTGATAATGTAGAAAACGTTTCAAATAATAAAAAAAAATTACCTTGATTGAAAATCATCATCTCTCATAAGATTCCTTTCATTAATTTTTGATATCTGGATTTTCTTCTCTTCGATAATATGCATTCTTGGTCCTTTTCTTTTCAATCATAGCTTCCTTCCTTATATAAATAAAATAATACTCGTTAACTTACTATATAAGTTACAACTTTTATCACCTAACCTTACCTGTTGCTTTTGGTATTAATTCATCAAAAATAGCTTCATGTATTTTTTGAAAATCTTTATGCTTTTTTCTTTTCAATGTTCATTCATAACGTTTCCTATCTTCTTGATTTATTTCTACAAGTTCAGAACAAGGTGAGTATTTATAGCAGCAAATTCAACTCTATTCACAATATAATTAACATAATTTCACTTTCATTTCCACCTTGCAATGATATAGGATGCATAGTTAGATCTGCAAGAAAGAAAAAATGTAAAAAAAAATTGTATTCGATTCTAATTAAAATTTGCCTACTAATAGTCCTTTTATTTATTTGATCAGTTTTTTCAGATCTCATTTGAACTTCCATTGCAAAAATAGTATTAGTCTATCTATCTATCGAATGCTTAAGGGAATCAAGTTTATCTTGATTAATTTTTAAATTCTTCCATTTGTATTTAGTCATTTCTGAATTTATTAATTGTGAAGACTGAATTCTATCATAATATTTCTCTAATAATAATAATAATAATAATAATGTGAATTAGACGAAAAATAAACAATTATCAATATAAGAAGGTATTCACTGTCTAATTTTCATTTATTCTAAGAACTAATGAATTTCTTAAAATAACAGTGTACTTGATCAGAGCTCAGTTCATTAAAGAATTTATCTTTATTTTCTCTCAACCAAATACGAAACTCTGTTGACTTTAAGAAATAATCATCTTTCAAAATAGCTAATATACAAAAATAATTTGGTTTAATTTATTTACCACCTAAAGAAATTAAAACTATAACACACATTAAATCCTTTTGGTTGCTTGTGAGAAATATTTGAATCAGTTTCCAAATGGTTATGAATTTTCTTGTGTTTTTTCTCTTTTCGAAGCTTATATTCATCTTTATTACCTTCTCTCAAGTGAACGTGATGACTCTTTAAATGAGAAGACAGAGATCGAAACTGATCATAATCACAGTGAGAAGACATTTTTAACTGCTAACAGTCGTTGAAATATAGTACAAATTTATATAAATTCACTAAAAATTAAAGTCAATTTCTAATTGTACTTAGTATCTGAAACAATAAATAATATTTTTAGAATAAAAATTTCCAATGAAGTCCCTTAGATTGTTCTAGTAGGCAAAATATTAATTAATTTATTATAGAAAAAAAACAGATTCAGCGTTTTCGCTTAGATTAGTAACTTGTACTATGATACACAATCATAAATGACCTGAGTAAAAAATCTTCAAAAAACTTACAATTATTCTTTTATGGTCAGATCTGCTTACCCAAATTAGAAGAAACCATCCTTCTGAATTTTATAGTCCCCTTCCACTCAATAACTAAATAGATTTTCTCCCATTGTATAACTAGTCTATAAATACCATATCCTGTTTATTAAATCAAATTTATTTTTTTGGAAAAAATGCAGGATGTGTGATATAATGAGTGACAAAATTTTTTCTATAAAAAAAATTCTATTCCCAAAATAAAGCCGTAAAAATGAAACACAAATACTAACCCTAACTCTGCTTTAACATATATAAATATGGGATGCATTTTGTGCAAGTGCGTAAAATACAAATTCTCTAATTCCAAAAAAACATCTGATTAAAAAAAAAGTTTCAACAACTGAAACTATTTTTTATGCGAAACAGAATACAAATTTTCAAAAAAAACTCTACATATATTTTTCATAAGATTCTTCACAAGATTTACCTATAATGTTTTCTAAAAATGATCCCTCACAGATTGAATTTTTCTGAGATCCTTCTTATCACAATAATTATTTCCCTTGATTAATTAATTAAAAAAAATTTTATCCCTTAATTAAAAAAATAAATCTTTCTAAAAAAAGAATCAATATCATTACCTATAATGCCTGCCAAAATTGTTATAATTTGTTATGTCTACTCTTACAATGAATGCATTACTAACACTTTATTATTAAAGAAATTATAGGAATTTTAAGACTAAATGATACTGATCCAACAAAATTGCTTATTTACAAATAAAAATATTTATCTTATTATATTCAAGTATCGAATTTCACATCAATCTCTTTAAAACAAAAAATGTTGATCTATTTGAAAGATAATTTGTTACCTATTCCAATTATTATATAATATGTTTTAACTCAATAAACCAAAAAATAAAAAATTCAACATAACAAAAATTTAATTAATTTACTTTCTTGTAAATAAGATTAATAAAATCATTATTAAATCTATGCATTTAGAGTATAATGATATGTTTATCATAAACTTAAATGTGATCACTTCAGGACTTATTATTAAAACTATTCAAAATTCTAACAGGAAGTTAATTTTTGATTTTTATATTGATATATCCTTAGTTTCTTCTAACTTCCAAATACCCAAACTTAAACCTTTTATGAATTAATAATAGTCTTAATAAAAAATTGATTACCTAAGAAGCTACTCCAAAAAATTTTACAAAAGAACACTCTGTCACAAATGGATCCTATTTGATAACAAAATCTTACTGCAGCATTACAAACTAATCTAATCTTAAAAACTGATTCCCTTCCTAAACAAAACTCCTTTGAAATAAACTAATCAAATAAATGCTTAACAAATTTGATCCGTTTTTATTATATTTTTATGATAATCAAAATTTTTTTTATATTTTATTACAATCACAAATAAATATTGCTTATATAATAACATATAAAATCATATGTAAAAAAAATATAACTAAATGCATGATAATTTTTTTGTAAAAATCTTTAATCAGAAAATAAATTTTTTTTTTTTTGAATTGTTATAAAATTTTATTAAACTTTTTTTTGAAATATTTTAAATTTCATTGATATTTTTTTTTGATCTATACTAATAATTGATCTGATTCTTATTTCTGATTTTAATGTCTAAATACTGATCAATTACATAATTATAATCCTATCAAATTTTTTATATATATCAATATACTTTTCTAAAAAAATCGCAAAATTCTCAAAATATATAACTTATTAATTTAAATTTAATAATAATTATGAAATTATTCTAAATTTTACAATTCAAACTACTAATAATTTTAACTTAATATCTTCAAAAATTAATAAATAAATTCATAATTATTATATTAAATTTCTTCTCAAAAATACAAAATCATACGATAAGTTTTTAAATAATATCTTAATCAATAGTCTCAAATTGTTTTATGTTTATTGTTAAAACTCTTATATTCTAAAAATACGTCTTAGATATTTATAATCTATCTGCTATTTATCTGCTATAATAAAATATATCTAATAATTCTCTATCTTTCTATCTTAACCTTATTTGTATTATTCAATTAAGAGTTTATATGAATCTTATTAAAAACCTTACACAAGATTCCAATTCTTACCTTTCTCTTATATCACAAAAAATTATTTCTATTATTATATATAAAAGAAAATACTTTTTACCTATTTATTTATATTATTTTTAGAAGGGATTCTGAACAGCAACTCCTATTCTATATATTAAAGTATAACTAAAATATAATATATTTACAAAAATATTAGAATTTACAACTTATATTCTAAAATATTAGAAGCTTTCATAGAAACTGAATAATAAAAATAATATTAATTATAATATTAAATAGAATATATAATAGAATATATAATATATTTCTTATATCAATATTAATTTCATTTATTTCCTATTAAAATTATCACTTTTTTTTTTCTTTATCAAATCTAATTCATAATCTAAACCTAGAATAAGCTTTTAACTTGTTGGCTAAAATAATTCTTACCTTCATCTTTATGTTAATATATTATTATATAATAATACATAAACTGAAATAATTCATTTTTAAAAGCAAGCTTGTATTTTTACTAATACTAATTCATTACCTATCAATTCTCAGAATATAATAGTTCTAATTATAATTTTTCTAATAAATTCATAATAAATCTTTTAATATACTAGATTAATATAGAATTTATTCAAAAAATAAAACTTTACAAATACCTATTTTCATATATATTTTTAATTTAAAATTTCTTCTTTTTTCAAATCTCTTTACTGATGAAAGAAATTATTTTTATAATATTTCAATTTAATCTTTATCTAATAATAAAATTTGTAATAAAATCTATAAAAAATAAATTAATTACAATTAATGAACTATGATTTAAAATAGAGATTTTATTATAACTAACTCTCTTGATTATATTTATAATTAGAAAACTAAAATATCATAAAAATATTTAAAGATTATTACTTCTCTAGTTTTCAATAAAAATCACAAATTATTAACAGTAAGTAAATTTTTTAGTCTAGTATTTATATTTTATATAATATAATTAATAAAATTAAAACTATTTCTTTTTACTCTTTTTATATATAAATAATATTACTTTTACTAAAAATAACTTCATTTAAATACAATAATATATAAATTCAGCTTATTTACTTTATTTATAACTCTAAGTATAATTAAGAACTATTAAACTATCTTTATAATATATTTTTTATTAATGATAATAAAGATATCATACCTATAAATAGACCTTTTTATTGTACAAATTATTTTATTTATAAATTTCAGTTCTTAAAAAAGAACTTTATAACAAATCAGATTTAATAAACTTTAGTAGAATTATTGATTTCTTTAATTAGATTAAATTTTAAAATAAAGGTATTATTAATACTTAAAATTATTATTAGATATCTAATTCTATTAAAACTATAATTACTAATAATATAGTATAATCTACTATTCTTAATATTTTATATAAACTTTAACTTTATATTATAATTATTTAAATATACACTTATAATAAAAAATACTAAGACTTACTCTTTCAGATCAAACTTGCAAAAATAATTTTTTATGTTTCTTTAGCAAAATCACTTATTATAATAAAACAATTCCTGAAATACTTACAAATACCTAAATTATAGATACTTACTAAAATCTCTTAAAAATAATTTTGTCATGTTCTTTTCTATATTTTATTATAGTTTAACAGTTTTAACTTTTATTATATTAAAAGAGTTTCATCATATCTCTTATTATGATTTAATATAATTTGTTTAAGTTTTAATTATTAAGAGATTTCATCTCTTATTTATAGTCTAATAAAATAGATTTATGAATTACTCCCTATCATTTAGCAATCTTTTTATTTTAAAATACCTACATAAATACCAATATATAATAAACTAAAGTTATGCAAAATATGTAACAAAATATATAACTTAAAAAGAAATATAACATTATATTTAATATCTATAAAAAGAACATATTAAGTGAATATGTTATTATTCAAAGATTTAATTCTATAGAACACAAATTCCTACTTCTAAAATATATTATCTGTAATTTCTCTATTATAGTTAACTTCCTTACTACTAAATTTCTTTCTATAAGAACTTGTATAATACTTTTAATCTATATAATAAATAAAGATAATAAAAATCTATATTATGATGATATCATTACTAAATATATATCATAACCTTTTTCTTCTGAATTTTGCAATTTAACCTATTTTTAATATTTTGAAAAATATTCAATTTTATTTTTTTGATCTTCTATAATAATACATTAAATATATCATGATTACCTAAATAATTATATCATTAAATATCAAAAAAATTATAATTAGATATCAATTTCTTAAAACTAAAATTATATTTTTATTAATAATTTTTAATAAATATTCCTACAAGAACTGAAATTAATATAGGTAAATTATTTTTATTCTTTTAAAATAATATAAAATATTAATTAATTAATTTATTAACTCTTATACAGTCAATTCTTGTTATAACAAACTCTATGTCCTAGACCTCAACTTCGCTATAAGGCTATAGTGAAGATTTTA